CTGGGGTATCTTTAGAATAAGTTTCTGCTCCTCCTGCTTTGTCGGTGGTGGCGTTCTCTTTGCTCTGGCTCTTCCATGCCTGCCGCAGCCTCTCTGATCAGAGGAGGGGCTTGGAGGGGGTGGGGGCGGTGGTGTCAGTTGACTTGGGAGAGGGGTGGGGAGAGAGAACAGAGGCCTCCCCCCGACCCCGCCGTGCTTCGTGGAAAGGGGGAAAGGGGGGCTCTGTGTGTGTGCAAGCGTGTGTGTGCGCGTGCATGTGTGCGGGCACGCGCTGTCCTGGTTTCTTATGCCTGATCATCTCTCTCCCTGTCTAGATCCCTCTAGCTGAGATGGAGGCTCTGTCTCTGACGTCAGAGATTGTGTCTGAACCGTCCTGCTCTCTAGCTCTGACGGATGACTCTTTGCCTGATGATACTCACACACTCTTACTTAGTGTCCTGGAGAGCAATGTACTTACACCTGGCCCCTTACTGCTCCCCCAGCCTCCCCAGGGGCTGGGCTGGCTGCAGGGCTCCAGATTCCCCACCACCACCACCACCACCACGCCCCACCCAGAGGCACCCACCAGCAGCCACTCAGCGCCCCAGGCTTCTCTAGGTCTTTCCAGTGGCCCACTGCGGACAAAGAAATTAGACAAGATTAAATTGGGGCCTCAAGGGCCAAGGGGCGCAGTTGTGATAGAGTTAATCCAGACATCCAGGAGTAACACAGCCCAAAACAGAGGTGGCATCAGGCAGCTGACCAAGGGGCCTGCCTGGATGCGGAGTCAGTCTCTGTTTTTGGAGCCTGTGCAAGCCAGCCCTTCCCCTCCCCACACCCCTCCTTCCCACCTCCTCACCACATGAGCCATTCCCCCCTCCTCCGCCACATAGCGGGTGAAAGCTCTCTCTTTGCTGCTACCACTGTGCCCTTCTGCCTGGGGGGGCTGTCCCTATCTCCTCCGTCACTGTCCCTGTGTGTCCCCATGTCCTGGTGCTGACGGGGGGGGGTCTTTGTGTTTGGGACAGCTTCTCTACCCTTGCCCAGTACCGGTCTGCGAACAGCCCTCTCCGCCCTGCCTTCCCCCTCCTCTGCGGACTTAAGAGACAGGGGCCGCTTCCTCACAGCAAGGCTCAGCTGGGGTTAAGGCCTTGACCACAGGCTGGGGGTCTCTAGGAGTCTTGGGGTGGCTGGCAGAAGTGGAGCCTGGGGCTGAGACAGGGACCACAGGCTCTAGACTCTTCCAACAGCCCCTACTGGGGCCGCTTAACTGGCTGGGCCTTTGAGGGGACACAGACCCTCCAGCCTCTCTGAGAACTAGTATGGAGGGTACAGGAATCCCCAAGGAGGAAAGGGGCCACAGGGAGGTGGAGAGATCTTGTGGGAGCAAACCTTGTCTCCCTCCAGCTGGGGTCAAAGGCTGATTGCTGCTTTTCTTCGAAACAAATTAAAAAACTCTCGCTCCCACTCCCAATCTGTCCCGTAAGGGAGGCCCTGAGTCTGTGGCATTCCAGGCATTCAGACCTTGTCCCCCACCTCCCATTTGCCACCTGCCCAAGTCACTGAGAATCAAAAGGCAGGGGGAGCCAGGCGGGTGCCAGTGGTCATCTGTCACTGAGCCCAGAGTAGCCCAGCTCGTGCCCAGTGCTGGGTCCTGGGGCTGTCTTAAGGTGCTGGGTAGTGAGAGAGCCTCTGCTCTGTAGGCAGGCCCTGCTCACTGGCTGGGTCCTCCCCATTCCCCACCCCACCCCCACAGCCCCAGCACAGGGAGAGGGGGCTGTTTTTAGCTTTTCCTCCTCCCTGATTCAGAGCCTCTTAATGGGGCCCCCGGGAACCATTTCTTGAATGACCTGCTGGGCTGGGCCTGGTGGCTGCTCTCCCTTTTTCGGACACCTTCTCATTCTGTCACCATCCCCACCAGGAGGCTCTGGGAGGTGATGCAGTATTGGATAGCTTTACTGGGGCAGGGACTCCTCCCACCTGCTTCCTTGCTGTGTTGGAGGGCTCATCGCTGTGTCTTCTCCCTTTTCCCCCATCGACTAACTCATCCCATTACCGCTCTGTCGGGGGAGGGGAATGGGACCAGAGCCTGGGGGCGGGGGTAGGGGGTGGTGGTGGGGCTTCTGGTTTCCATTGTCCAGCCCTGCCTCAGTTAGCCAAACCGGATGCCCCCTCTTTTTCCCACTTCCCTCCCCTGTTCCTTTTGCAGATGGAGCCCCACCCCGAGGGGGTGCCCCTCACCCTGGGACCAGACCTACTGACCGTGCGGAAGTCTGGGGTCAGCCGGACGCACTCTCTGCCCAATGACAGCTACATGTGCCGGGATGGAGGAACCGCTGAGGGGTCCCTAGGTCACAGAAGCTGGGGGCTCCCCAAAGCTCAGTCAGGTAGCAGGGCTCAGGCAGGCCAGCTCGGCTACAGAGGAAGACCCCATCCTTGCCTCAGCCCAGTCCTGACCTGGGGGAGGGGGGTCACTAAGGCAGCGAGAGAGGTCTCTCCAACCTCCAAGGGACCTCCAGCCCGAGGAGAGTGACTTTCAATCTAAGACGAGAGGTCTGTGGGAAGGGTAGAGGCCCCAGGGTTGGGGGTGGGGGGAGCTGGAGGAGAGGAACAAGAGCCAGACCACTGACCTTCCAGCTCTTCTGTCTCCTCCTCCCCACTCTGCCCACAGGCTCGGTCTTGTCCGTCCACTCCCAGCCAGCAGACACCAGCTACATCCTGCAGCTTCCCAAAGACACACCCCACCTGCTCCAGCCCCACGGTGCTCCCACCTGGGGCACCATCCCCAAACTGCCCCCACCAGGCCGCTCCCCTTTGGCTCAGAGGCCCCTCAGGCGTCAGGTGAGCAGGTGTGGAGAGGTGGGCTGGGGCCCAGCGCTGGCCCTCTCTGCTGGGAACCCTAGGCTCCTGGTGATGCCCAGGCTGCCATGTCCATTCTCCCAGCAAACATGTGTACTGGGCACTGACCATGTGGCATAGGCAGTTCTAGGTACTGGAGACACAGTACCGGGCAAAGGAGAAGTGGCCTGGGCCCTTTTTGGTGTTTATATCCCCCTCCCCTTCTTTCACTGAGGAGGCCTGGAGACCAGGCCAGGGTTGCTCAGGGACATAGGGCGCCTTGGCTGGAGAACCCATGTCTCTGGCCTCCCTTTCCCCTGCCCAGTGGTGCCTCCCAATTATTCTCTATATTTCTAGTCTTAGCTAAGGGACACAAGGCATGTTTTAGGGACCTCCACCTTTGGTCAACGCTAGGGCCCACCTTCCAGGGGCACAGAGCTGAGGCTCGGGCAGCCAGGGGAGGCTTGTCTGCCCCCACGGTGACAAGGCCACAGCCCATGCCCTGTTGTGCCCTCATGTGTGATCGGGACCACGTGAGAATCAGCTCAGCGCCACACACTCGTGGATGCAGGTCCGATCCTCGTCCATTTTGCAAAGATTCCCAGAGCTGCTTCTGTGTGCCAGGCACAGGGGACGCAGCCCCTGCCCTCTGGAGCTCACAGGCTAACCAGAGACTCAAATGCCATCACACCTTTGAGGCCATAGGGCCCAGCTGCTGGGATATGCATGCACAGGGAGTGGCAGGGAGCAAAGGGGAGGGAGGGGTTCATTTTAACCTGTGGATAGAGGTTATCAGGCACAGTGTCACAGAGAACCTGAGCCCATAAAGTCAAGGGGCGCTTGTCATTCGAGAAGGGTGTTCAAGCCCAAAGAATAGCTTATGCAAAGGGCTGGGAGTAGAGCTGGCCCAGTGCTTTTTTGTGCCCCAGGGGCTGGGCGGTTCAGGGAGCCATTCCTGCCCGGGGTGGGGTGAAGGACGGGGTGTGGGGGGCAGTCAGGCTGCACACAGCCCCCCTCTCCCGAGACCAAATACTGACGTTCCTGCTTGGAGTGGGCCTGCAGGGGGAGGACCGGGTTATCAGGCTTGACGGGGATAGGGGGGTGGGGGACGCAGACAGAGGACAGGTCCTGGGGGAGCAGAAGCCCGTGGGCTGAGCTTTCCCCCCACCTCCCACAGGCAGCAATAAGGACTGACTCCCTGGACGTGCAGGGCCTGGGCAGCCGGGACGACCTGCTGTCCGAGGGGAGTGGGCCCTCCCTGCCTCTGGTCCGGGCCTCCTCCTTCTGGGGCCACTTGGGCTCCCGGGTACAGCAGCACCCCCGCCGACAGAGCAAGATCTCGAAGCACATGCCCCTGCCGGCTCCATGCCCAGGCTCAGAACCCACCTGGAGCAAAGGCCCCCCAGAGACCAGAAGCAGCTTAGAGCTGGACACGGAGCTGAGCTGGATTTCAGGAGACCTCCTGACCGTGGGCAGCCCGGAGGAGCCCCCGTCCCCACGGGACCTGAAGAAGTGTTACAGCGTGGAGGCCCAGAGCTGCCGGCGCAGGCCTGCGTCCTGGCTGGATGAGCAGAGGAGGCACTCCATCGCGGTCAGCTGCCTGGACAGCGGCTCCCAGCCCAGCCTGGGCCCTGACCCCTCTAGCCTCGGGGGCCAGCCTCTGGGGGGGCCTGGAAGCCGGCCCAAGAAAAAACTCAGCCCACCTAGTATCTCCATAGACCCCCCAGAGAATCAAGGCCCTCGGCCCCCACCCAGCCCTGGCGTCTGCCTCCGGCGGAGGGCTCCATCCAGCGACTCCAAGGATCCCTTGGCCTCCGGCCCCCCTGACAGCATGGCTGCCTCGCCCCCCCCAAAGAAAGACGTGCTGAGTCTCTCTGGTTTAGCCTCTGACCCAGCAGACCTGGCGCCCTGAGTCCCGCCCCACTCCCCCACTCCCCTTTCTCCACTGGGTGCCAAATCCTAGCTCCTCCTGGGCTGTGTTCCTGAAAAATGTTCCGTGGGGACTCCAAGGGGGCGCTCCTCCCTGCCTCAGTGGGGCTGGGAACCGACAAGCAGAATTTCCAGAGCGTTCGGAGCAGCAGCCCTGGCCACCTTGGGGCCAGGCAGAAAGAGAGAGGCCCAGTGCAGCTGCAGTTCCCAACACCAGGAGCTACTGGGAGAAAGCAATACGTTTGTGCAGAATCTCTATGTATATTCTATTTTATTAAATTAATTGAATCTAGTATATGCGGGATGTACGACATTTTGTGACTGAAGAGACTTGTTTCCTTCTACTTGTATGTGTCTCAGAATATTTTTGAGGCGAAGGCGTCTGTCTCTTGGCTATTTTAACCTAAAATAACCAGGCTAGTTATTTCCCTCTTCTTGCAAAGTACGACCTGGGACCGAGAGTGCATTTCAGCCCTGCCGGTGGCCCATCTTCAGCAGAGAGCAAGAACCACTTTGGAAACTGTAATGTAACTTATTTTCTCCTTTAACCTCGCCATCGTTTTCTGTAGGAAAAAAAAAAAAAGAGAAAAATAAGATTTTACAAATGAAATGGAACCTTTTTATATATATACATACATACATACCTATCTATATCTATATCTATAATAAAGTAATTTTCCAAAATAAAAAGTTAATCCCCGTCCGAAGTAAAAGCACAAGGGACAGTTAGGCATTTCCAGGGGGGCCCCTGGAGAAAGGCCCGCGGAGCTGAGGAGGGGGCAGCGCGCAGGGAGGGGGTGGGAGCTGCCTCTGTGTGCATCAGTGTGTGCTTGTGCATGTCAGTCTGCCTGTCTGGGGGAGAGACAACCTGACCCTCTCCCGGGACGGCTGCCACCTTGCAGCCTCACCACCGCCACCACCACCCTGCCTTGGGGTCGGGGGGAGAGGGCGGAGGGACCCCCCCCTCCCCCGCCCCCTGCGCTGGCCAGAAGGCTCTGCAAGCAGGGGCTACCGCTTCTGCCGAAGCTTTCTCGCTTCCTCCACGCCAGGCAGCCTTGTGAATGTGAGTAATTCCAGATTAACTCTTATTTCTGCTGACAGCTATCAGCCGCACACTGAAAGCTGGAAATTGGCATAATGAAGCTGTTTTGGTTAATGGGGCCGACGGAGACTGGGGGAGGTGGCCTCAGCTGCCGCCGACGGGATCTGCGGGTTGGTGGGGGAGGGGCCTGCGCTTCGGAGTTTTCCATCCCTGGCCCTCGACCCCCGTGACCTGCGACGGCTGGGCTTTGGCCTCCCGCTTTGGGGATCCTGCTGACCCGCACTGTGGACACTGCTCCGTCAAGCTGGCCACGGGATTAAGCTGCACAAACAGAAGGGCTGCTCCCTTCCGAGACCGAGGGGGCCGTGAGTCCAAAGGCGACCTCCCGGTGGAGTCGGTCTGGCCGGGCCGCCAGGCTGCGGACTGCGGAGCTGGCCCCCTGGGGAGTGATGAATGAGCTCCATCAAGGTGTTTACACGGTCTGCTGCTGCCTGCCCAGTGGGAGCCGGGGCGGGGGGAGGCGGGAGGGGGGTGAGGAGGAGGAGGGGGAGAGGAGGAGGGGCTATTGGTATGGCCCAGAACCTCCTTTCTGGTGCTACCTTGGCAATACTCTCTTTTCTGAAACTCTGGTGCCCAGAGGCAGTGCCCAGGCACCAACCACAGGTTCAGCCAGCCTCTCCCCTGCCAGCCACCCTAAATATCCATCCCAACCCCACTCCCTTCAACATCCTATCCCCTCATTCCCAGCACCTTCAAACCCGGGAACTCTTGAAACCTCAGAGGGGGCTCCAGTGGGCTGGTGACCAGACCCCCAACCTCCAGCCCTTCTCTGAACTTGGGATGAGCCTGGGATGGGGCATGGGGGGGGGGATGCGGTGCCAGGCTGCGGGGCAGATGGACCTGGAGGCTTGGTCCCATCCTGTTTTCTAAGCTGGTGAAAGTTTTTCTAATTGCTCTTCTTGACAGAAATATACTTCTCCTTGAAGCAAACACCTGCTTTATCCGCTTGGGGTGTGTAACAGCGTGGAACTCTTTTTCCTCTAGTCTCCTTGGATAGAGAGAGGGGGGTGCTTGTAGGAGCCGCTTTGTCTTTAAAAAAAAGCAAAGCTGTACAAAATTCCTAGAGTTTTGTCCACCTGGGTCTGCAGATTAAGCTTTTGTATTTTTGTAGAATTCGTAGCTGTCTATTCCCTAATGAGGGTATGAAAGTTGGGGAGGGGGCTCTGGGATCTTTTTTCTTCTAATTGGAGGATTTCTTCTAGTTGGAAGATTCTAGGTCATGATGAAGGCAGAGAGCAGGACTATAACCCCCTCTCCTCTAACCTAGGCTCCCCCCCAAACCTGCCCCCCAAGAAACCCCCAGAGTCAAAGTAGATATTTTAGGGGACAGAATCGTGGCCTCTCCCCAAACAACGTAAAATCTTTATCAATGATGGAAACTGTTGTGTCTCATTAAAAGTGGAAATAGGGGCACCTGGGTGGCTCAGTTGGTTAAGCGTCCCACTCTCGGTTTCTGCTCAGGTCCCGGGATCAAGCACCAGGTCGGCTCTGTGCTCAGCAGGGAATCTGCTTGAGAGTCTCTCTCCCTCTGCCCCTCGTCTCCACTCATACAAAGTCTCTCTCTCTCCCACCACTGAATCCTAAAAAAATAAAAAATACAAAGAAAAAAAATAATTAGAATCTTAAAAAATAAAAAATAAAGTGGAAATCTTAACAGTGCTGATTCTTATTAACAGTAGCCCAAAGGAGGCTGGGATGGGGAGGGGCTGGTGGCTGCAAAGCAGGTCTTGGTTTAAGGCCTGGGGTGGGGTTGGGGGGGGCAGAGTTGGAAGTGGCCAGGAGCTTCAGGGGAGTGGGGGGTCTTGGGAGGTAAGAACATCTACCCTAGCATGTCTGCTCTCTGCTCTCAGCCTTCTCCTTGGGGGTTCAGGGGAAATTGTGTCAACAGCAGCCAGGCGCCACCTCCGGCTTGTCTGCTTCTGCTTCCCCCATCCCAACACTCCTGGAAAAGGTCTGCCTGGGGGTGGGGGGTGGGGACTAGGAAGAGAACAGAGCTGAGCTGGTGCTAAAAACGAAAATGAGGGGGCGCCTGGGTGGCTCAGTGGGTTAAGCTTCTGCCTTCGGCTCAGGTCATGGTCTCAGGGTCCTGGGGTCTCAGGGTCCTGGGATCGAGCCCGGCATCAGGATCTCTGCTCAGCAGGGAGCGTGCTTCCCACCCCCCGCCGCCGCCTGCCTCTCTGCTGACTTGTGATCTCTGTCAAATTAATAAATAAAATCTTTAAAATAAATAGATAAAAATAAAAACGAGGCTGAGGCTCCCCTGCGATGTCTCACTTAACTCCTCACAATACCCCAAAGAGGAGGATACTGCAGCTTGCATTTTTTTCCCCCAGGTTCAGAGAGGTTTAGTGACCTGCCCAAGTCACACAGGCACAATGGCAGAGTTGGGATTTCATCCTAGGTCTGGCCAACCTTTAGCCCACTGGCTTCAGACAACCCAGCCTCTTATTGTGGAGGGAATGGGGCATAGGCAAGGAATCCTGGTCACGAAACGGCTGGCTATGTGTTCATAGAAATGGGCTCCCCGATCGGCATACTCAGAAGCTGAAAGGAACCTACAGTCCTTCACCTTGTGTGAAGAGAGACGTTTAACCACAAGAGAAGGCGTTCCTCAGCTCCAGGTGCGTGTTCAAGAGCTGGCCAAGCCTGTCTCTGCAAATCACCCAGTTTCCCAGGTATCGCCTTTCTCTGGCCTAATGCTGCCCTTGAACCACAGAGCACTGTCCCCCGCCCGCCCCCCGTCCTTCCTGTACTCTCCCCGTGCCCCACCCAGGCCTCTCCCACTTTCCAAACAGCTTTCCCTCCATTGTCACCCCTAGTCCCCACCCAGGCACAACCTGGTGCGGCAAGGCCTCCTCTCCTCCCCTTTCCTGGGCCTGCTGAGCCTGCCGTCCTGGAGGCTGGGCGCTGTGGTGCAGCGAGAACTTCAGACACCAGGTGGCAGCACAGAGCAGCTTCACCTGCCTGCCCCACCCCCACCCTTCACATGCCCCTTCTGCAGAGGGATCTAGCCAGGAAGAGGACACCTCATTGATGGACACCTTCCACAGATGGATACTCTGAATAGCCCTCCACAAGAGGAAACACGCTCACAGGCCCAGTGAAGGACTCATCTGCGCCCAGGGAATCCCAGCCATGGGAGTGCTGCGTCCATGGTGCCCCAGTGATCCCTGCCTAAGGCCAGGGGACCCAGGGCTAACCAGGACAGTGGCTGCCAGGAGCCAGTTTAGTTGTGGGCTGGCTCCCTACTCTGAGGACACAGCAAGGCAGGTCGAGGAGGTAGCAGCTCCAGCAAATAGCCGGGAGGGAAATCTGCTAAGAACTTCAGAACTGTGGCTCACAGAGCTAATTAAATCTTGCTTTGAAAACTCCTGCATCAGGTACAGCAGCCAAATAAGATCAAGTGTGGGGTGCGGAGGCTACGAGGGGGCCCTGTGTGGCCCGCACCAGGCTGAAATCTGGACAAAACAGCTTCCACCACACCGCTTGGGAAGAGAGAAGGGCGAGGCTGGAGTTTCGGAGCTGGATCTGCTTTGGGGGTGCTCCAGGCATTCCAGGAGCCACAGGGGGTTCCAAAGGCTCAGGCAGAGAGTGAAGAGAAAACCAGAATAGCCTTTGCTATTCCACACCCCTCCTGGCCCTAGTCTCTACCTGACTCTCCCCATTTGCAGCATTTCCTGTCCCTGGGTCTCCCTGTCCCCGCCTTACTCTGCTTTCTTCTTTCCGCCGTCATTCCCACTCCCAGCGGTACCTTGCAATTATCTTATCTTTCCATCTCCCCGCCAGGAAATATCCGCTGGGTTCCCCCGGGATGCTCACCCGGTGGGGGAGGTGCAGCACACACTCGGTCCACCCCTCCTGGAACTGCAGTCAGTTGGAGGGAATGATGGGGTTAGGGCCACAAAGCTTGTGGGGGGTGGTTAGCGGTGTGCAGCCCCTGTCAGCTGCAGCCCGGCGGCTCTCAGGAGTCTCCGGCTGGAAACATCTTGGTTCTGGAAAGGTGAAAGTGCAGTGGACAGTGCCCACTGCTGGGACTGTAGGTGAGACCACAGTAGGCTCACTACTTATAACCTCTTCTAAGGACATGAGATATTTGTTTAGTCAGTCAGCAAACATTTCCTGAGGCTTGACTTTGCCAGTCACTGTCCCAGGTGCTTAGGGCACAGCAATAAACAGGTGTGCTTGGTCCCTATTCTGAAGGTGTACACGGTCTCCTGGGGGAGGTGAGCAAGGCAACCAGTGAGTACAATGTGGGGGAGGGAGATAGTGCCGGGGAAGGGTCCCTAGCCCAGGATAGGGGCAAGGGTGTTTCACGGAAGATTTTGAGGGTGCTGTGGGGCTTAAGCAAAATCTTCAAGGATGGGTAGAGTTTGCCAGGTGCAGAAAGGGAGGTGAGGTGTAGGGAGGGGACTGTGCTGAGCAACCTCAAAGGTGGGCAGGGGTGGGGGGACACGAATGCAACAGCTCAGGACACTGGAAATGCATCCCGCCCAAAGCAGCCTCATGAAAACAGCCTAGCACTCAGAAGACTCCCACCTCTGCCAGGATAAGGTGTCTCAGGGCCTCCATTTTCTTGCTCTGCTGGAGCCAAGACAATCATGTCCTAGGAGCTTGATGGCTTTTATTCAAGGGCTGTAGGAAACGGATCACATTCCAAGAGGGTCCAGAAACGGCAAAACCCCAGTGATTACCTCAAAAAAGATGGGAGAGGTGGAGGATTGCTAAATCCCCTCCCATGGTCCCAGAGGCTCCCACCCAATGCCATGAGCCTGAAAAGGGATCTCCAATGGCAGGATGGGACGGTGCCAAAGGGCCAGTGCTTCAGTCCCAAGGGTCCTGGACCTGAGCTAGAGAAAGGGCTAGACAGGAGCCCCAGTTGCTCACCACAGAAGCTGGGGTCAGCAGGGCTGGAAAAGACCTTAGATGGCATTTCGTCCGAGTTGTTCAAGAAAGCTCATCCCAGAGAACTCAAGGGCCTTGTTGAGGTCACAGGGTATACAAAAGTTACTCCCGAGGCAGGGAGGGGGCTGGGGGTGACTCAGTCAAACCCTGCCCTTGGGGACCTCTCAGACTGGCAAGGAAGACAGACTCTTCACAACTAAATATAACTCAAGGCATTCTGTGACAAGATGTGAGAGTTCTGGAAAGTCTTGGGCTCAGAGATGGGGGCAGGGGTGGAGGGTGACTGGGTCAATAGAGGGGAGGGGGAAGACAAAAGGCAGAGAGGGCTTGCCCCGTGGAGGGGATGTGGATGGCCCCCCCATTCCTCTGCCTGGGAAGGGGGAGACTTGTCCACACCGCTCCGTCCAGCGCAGCTCAGATCTCTGTTCCGATAACTCGTGACATAGACTTCCTTCTGGTCACTTCCTGCCAGAGGGACAGGCGGTGGCTGGCTGCATCTATGTTATCTTACTGGCCCACACACGCCTGCTGCCAAGCATTT